AGGCAGCAAACCACCTTGCCATGTATGTACCTATGCAATAACCCTGCATAATATGCACATGTATCACAGAACATAAAGTAAAATAAAAAAAAAAGAAGGAAACATAAAATAAAATGTCTAAATTTAGCTGGAAAAAAAAGAATGTACAGAAATAAAAGTAATGGTATCTGTTTTATATGGTGTGGCTGTGTCCCCACCCAAATCTTATCTTGAATTGTAGTTTCTATAATCCTCATGTGTCATAGGAAAGACCTGGCGGGAGGTAATTGATTCATGGGGGTGGTTACTCCTATGCTGCTGTTCTTATGCTAGTGAGTTTTCATGAGATTTTATGGTTTTATAAGGGGCTTTTCCCCCTTTGCTTGGTACTTTTCTCTCCTGCTGTCATGTGAGGAAGGATGTGTTGTTTCCCCTTCTGCCATGATTGTGAGTTTCCTGAGGCCTCTCCAGCCATGTGGAACTATGAGTCAATTAAATCTCTTTTCTTTATAAATTACCCAGTCATGGGCAGTTCTTTATAGCAGTGTGAGAATGGACTACTAAAGTAAACTGGTACTGCAGAGAGTGGAGTGTTGCTGTAAAGATGCCTGAAAATATGGAAGTGACATTGTAACTGGGTAACAGGCAGAGATTGAAAGAGTTTGGAGGGCTCAGAAGAAGACAGGAAGATGTGGGGAAGGTTGTAACTTTCCATAGACTTGCAGGACTCAGAAGACAAGAAGATAAGGGAAAGGTTGGAACTTTCTAGAGATTCACTGAGTGGCTTTGACCAAAATGTTGATAGTGATATCAGTAATGAAGTCCAGGATGGGTGGTCTCAGAGGGTGATATGGGTTGGCTCTGTCCCCACCCAAATCTTATCTTGAATTGTGGCTCCCATAATTCCTATGTGTTGTTGGAGGGACCCAGTCAAAGATAATTGAATCATGGGGCTGGTTTCCCCCATACTGTTCTCATAATAGTCAATCAGTCTCATGAGATCTGATGGTTTTATAAGGACAAGCTCCTTTCACTTGGCTCTCACTTCTGTCTTGTCTGCCACCATGTAAGATATGCCTTTTGCCTTCCACCATGATTGTGAGTCCTCCCCAGCCACATGGATCTGTGAATTCATTAAACTTCTTTTTATTTATAAATTACCCAGTCTCAGGTATATATTTATCAGCAGCATGAAAATGGACTAATATAGATAGAGACGAGAAACTTGGGAACTGGAATAATGGTGATTTTTGCTATGGTTTAGCAAAGAGACTGATGACATTTTGCCTCTGCCCTAGAAATTTGTGGAACTTTGAACTTGAGAGACATAGTTTAAGATATCTGGTGGAAGAAATTTCTAAGTGGTAAAACATTCAAGAGGAATCAGAGCATAAAAGTTTAGAAAGTTTGCAGCCTGGTGATGTGATAGAAAAGAAAAACCTATTTTCTGGGGAGAAATTCAAGCTGGCTATAGAAATATGTATAAGTAATGAGAAACCAAATGTTAATCACCAAGACAATGGGGAAAATGTCTTCAGGGCATGTCAGAGACCTTCACAGCAGCCCTCTCATCACAGGTCCAGAGGCCTAGGAGGGAAATATGGTTTCATGTGCTGGGCCCAGGGCCCCCCTGCTCTGTGCAACCTTGGGACATGGTGCCCTGAGTCTCAGCTGCTTCAGCTTCAGCCATAGTTAAAAGGGGCCAAGGTACAGCTCAGGCTATTATTTCACAAGGTACAAACCCCAAGCCTTGGTGGGGCTTACATGAAGTGTTGAGCCTGGGGGTGCAAAAAAGTCAAGAATTGAAGTTTGGGAACCTCTGCCTAGATTTCAAAGAATATATGGAAACAGCTGGATGTCCAGGCAGAAGTTTGCTGCAGGTGTTGAGTCCTCATAAAGAACCTCTGCTAGGGCAGTGAGGGAGGGATATACAGGATTGGAGTCCCCACACAGAGTCCCTGCTGGGGCACTACCTAGTGGAGCTGTGAAAGGATGGCCACTGACCTTCAGACCCCAGAATGTAGATCTACCAACAGCTTGCACCATGCACTTGGAAAGGCTGCAGACACTCAATGCCAGGTTGTAAAAGCAGCCAGGAGGGTGGTTGCACCCTGCAAAGCCACAAAGGCAGAGCTGCCACAGGCTGTAGGTGCCCACCTCTTGCATCAGCATGACCTGAATGTAACACATGGTGTCAAAGGACATCATTTTGAAACTTTAAGGTTTGGCAACTGCCCTGTTGGATTTCAGACTTGTGTACATCCTATAGCCCTCCATTTTGGCCAATTTCTCCCTTTTGGAATGGATGTATTTTCCCAATGCTTGTATCCCCATTGTATCTGAGAAGTAACTAACTTGCTTTTGATTTTGTAGGTTCATAGATGGAAAGGACTTACATTGTCTCAGATGATACCTTAGACTTGGACTTTTGGGTTAATGCTGGAATGAGTTAAGACTTTGGAGGACTGTTAGGCATGACTGTGTTCTGAAATGTGAGAACATTATATTTTGGAGGAATCGGGTGGAATGACATATTTTGTCTGTGTCCCCACCCAAATCTCACCTTGACTTGTAGTTACTATTATCTCCATGTGTCATGGGAGGGACCCAGTAGGAGGCAATTGAATCATGGGGGCAGTTACTCCTATGATGCTGTTCTTGTGGTAGTGACTTCTCATAAGATCTGATGGTTTTATAAGGGACTTTTCCCCCTTTGCTCGGCACTTCTCTCTCCTGCTGCCTTGTGAGGAAGAACATGCTTGCTTCCCCTTCTGCCATGATTGTAAGTTTCTGGATGCTTCCCAAGTCACACAGAACTGTGAGTCAATTAAATCTCTTTCCTACATAAATAACCCAGTCCCTTACAGTTCTTTATAGCAGCATGAGAACAGACTAATACACTGTTTGTAAATCAACTTTATTCTTTAAAACAAATACAATATTCCAGTAGGTTGCACCTGGGCCACAACTGTATTTATTGCTTGTATGCCCTTTCTTTCTATTTTAACATGTACTTTATGATGACCTTCAGTACCATGAGTAATTTGGATTCCAAGAGTCCTTAAACATTTTAGGCATTCTTATTTCCCTAGTACACAGGTAGCTAAAAAATGGCCACAGGGATTTCCTAGGAGTAGAACTGGGGAAAAATTACCATTTATTCATATCCTGGAATTGCAGTATTCTTTTCCTGTGGTCCTGCCCTCCACTGCAGCTGATAAGTTCAGGGTCTGAAATTAGCTCAGATCAAGGCTATGGATGTGATTTGTTATGAGGGCTACCTCTTAACCTCTTGTTAAACAGCACTGATTTCACTTCTTTTCTCTCAATTTCATTTGACCCTATGGATGCCCCATCCTACTGACCATCTTCAGAATTCTCCCTGGTCAGGCCTAGCGGTCTGCCACTGTTTACTATAACTGAATCTACTTAGATTCTAATGATTAAGGGCCAACATCAGGCCTCTATGTGTCTGGGTCTATCATCCCCTATCAGAGTGTTGAGTTCTGGAAAGGCACATTGTCCTTTTTATCTGAGTCTACCACAAAGATACCACCATTGAATGTACAAGGATGGCACAATCCCTCTCACCAGTGCTTAATCTTAATGTTTGGTAATTTGTGCTTCTAACACCTTATAACTTTAATTCAGAGATAGGCAGTAGAAGCTACTCTTGTTGAGAGTTTAAAGATCACAGAAAAGTGCATGCATTTGTCTCAAAACAAATTTAAGGGATTGAAAAATAAGACCAAAATGAAAGAAAGCATAGGATGTAAATTTTATGCACTCTAGTACTCAGATCTGAGACTCCTCATTGAGCTGGATGATGTAATTCCTAGAATCAATGAGCAATTTCATTATCTGACAGCCAAATTCATATTCCTTTAATTATTATCACTATTAATATTCTACCTTACATTTTCTTTTTCATTTCTTAACAGATAAAATAAGCTTTCTTCACTTAGAATAATAGTCTCTAATCTCATCCAGGTCACTGCAAATGCTGTTAGTTCATTCCTTTTTATGGCTGAGTAATATTCCATTGTATACATATACCACAGTTTCTTTACATATTGATTGATGGGCATTTGGGTTGGCTCCACGATTTTGCAATTGTGAATTGTGCTGCTATAAACATCCATGTGCAAGTATATTTTTCGAATAATGACTTCTTTTCCTCTGGGTAGATATCCAGTAGTGGGATTGCTGGATTAAATGGTAGTTCTGCTTTTTGTTCTTTAAGGAATCTCCAAACTATTTTCCATAGTGGCTGTAATAGTTTACATTCCCACCAGCAGTGTAGAAGTGTTCCCTGATCACTGCATCCACACCAACATCTACTGTTTTTGATTTTTTGATTACAGCCATTCTTGCAAGAGTAAGGTTTTGATTTGCATTTCCCTGATTTTTAGTGATATTGAGCATTATTTCACATGATTGTTGGTTATTTGTATATCTTCTTTTGAGAACTGTCTATTCATATCCTTAGCCCACTTTGTGATAGGATTGTTATTTTAAGTGAAGTAATTTAGGAATGGAAAACCAAACATTGCATGTTCTCACTGATATGTGGGAGCTAAGCTATGAAGATGCAAAGGCATAAGAATGATATAATGGACTTTGGGGACTTAGGGGAAAGAGTGAGAGGAGGGCAATGGATAAAAGACTACAAATACGCTGCAGTGTATGCTTCTCAGATAATGGGTATACCAATATCTCACAAATCTCCACTAAGAAACTTATGTAACCAAATACCACCTGAACCCCAATAACTTATGGAAAAATAAAATAAAATAATAAATGCATTTATTTTTTAAATTTTCTTATTTTACAAGATAATGTTGTACAGGTAAAATATTATTGAAAAATAAGCTTGCCTTACAAAATTCAAAAGATAGAATGCACAATGAAAAGTATGTGTCCCTTCAGTCCCTAATTCCATCTGATTTGTCCCAGAAGGAGCCAATAATAGCAGATTTTCAGTAATCCTTCTAGAGATATTTTATGTGTATATTTGCATGTTTGCATGTAATAATTGCATTTTACCTTGGTGATAAGATAACACACACTGCTTTGCATCTTGCTTCCTTTTTCACTTTATAATGTATCTTCCAGACTATTCTGTAGTAGTCAAAATAGAACTCCACTGACAATTTTTATACTGGTTATATAATATCCCAGTATTTGTACAAACTAAAATTTATATTACCAATCTTACATGAAGAACATTCACATATTTTCCAATATTTTGCCATTAAAAACAATGCCTTAGTGGACCCACTATTTGTAAATGGTTTTGCAAATTTATATTTCCTAAAAGTGAACATGGTTATTCAAAGTGTGCATGCATCCATTCTATCTCACGTGGGCCAGGCAATAATATCCTTCAGTAAGTACTTTTTATATTTAAAATGTTGCTGAATGAAAATGGAAAACATACAGACCAAAAATATGTCAAAGTATGTATCCACAATCTACAATATTTTATTTAGAATTCTTTTTAAATAGTGAACTTACACCTTTGACAATCTGATTAAATAATTTACCATCCTCAGAGAATACTGAAGAAACTATCGCGTTGCCAAGTCTGTCCAAGGCTTGTGCAATCCAGGGTCTATTATCACTTTTTGTAGTATCAATCTTATTTTTTAATTGATTTATCTCTGCATTCATCTCCTCAGATTTCTTCTTAAATCCTTCTTCAAGCAAATTCTTTTGGGCCTAAAAATATGTAAGGAGGAAAGTAAAAATTTTAAAATCCCTATTCTTTTAGGAATTGCATTTTGTATTTAAAAATTTTGTTGAACAGTCTTAATTTTACTCCTAAAAACTATTTCTCAACTATCAGAGAAGAATTTGGACCTAGACATTGTGAGGAACCATAGTTTACAACTTTATTAATACTCATCTACTATTATGATTTTGTTATGGTCCTAACACAGGTATGAGGACAAATGCTATATATTCCTGCCCCAAAAGTGCCATTTGAGAGGTAATCATTGGTTTGATTGCATAAATTCAGTCTTACTTGGGTAGCATGGTCACCCATATCAAAAATAACAGGAATTTATAAGCTGATCTAAAATCTCTTATGAGGGAACTTTCAGATGGACAATGCAAGAATTTCCCCTACACTGTGTGCTAACATGGGCAAGTTATCTATACAGGGAAACAACTGCAGCATGTTTAGAGATTGTTCCTTCTGTGTCTATTTAAGTCTAGAAATTTGAGAGAGTTGCGTATCAGAATGGATCTACCTCATGGTGTTTGGGAGGTAGTAGAGCTGATAATATGTGTTACCGATAAAGCAAACCAGTTTCTGCTCATATCGAATACACGTGAGTGGACTACCTGTTTAAGTAGGACTCCTGAGATTATTTTTAAAATCTCCCAAAATGGCAACTTGAACCCTATTTACATTCTCCAAGGACTTGTAGGGGCCATAGTCAACCTGCATTCTTCAGGATCTAAGTATAGAGCAGAAATCAAAGCCATCTTTAAAAAATTTTAAAGGATTCATCAGGACTTTTAATAACTCCCAAGAAGCAAATGGTGATGCGCTTCCTTGCACGATCCTGCTGTAACCTTCACCAGCCCTTCCTGAGGTACCTGGGCAATGATCATGTGGCCTGCTGAGGGCATGGACAGACTTACCTCCAGTTTATGGTCCAACATCATATTCTGCTCTCTCAGTATGTGTTCTCTTTCCTTCTCCAGCTTCTCTTTCAGTTGGGCTATATTTTCCTTAAGAGTCTTCTCTTGAGCCTCCATCTGTTGCTGCTGCTCCTGTAATTTCTGTTTTAAAAGTTCCTGTTCCTTCTCAGCTGCTTCCTTCTTGGCCTTCTCCACTACCCCATGAAAGTTTTAGAAAGAGAAGAAAATAATAGATGAAGACTCATCTCTACCCTTCTGAGCTCAGAGATCAAACCAACTTTGAAAGCTGGGGGGACAGGAAATCACAGAATTCACTCTGGCTCACATTATCAAGAACACATTTCAGAATGTGATGGGAAAGGCCCTGCCTGGCTGGCTGATGTACAACCATAACCACAGCTCCCTTGGAAGATTAAGCAGAGTGTATGTTCCACAGAAGAAAAAACTCTTTATTTTGGGAAAGTCTTCTTGGTGGATCTGTCAGAAAGCATTGCAGGAATCTACCCATCTTGCTATAAGCTGAGACCTGCCCCATACCTGCTACTGCCTTTTCCCGATCAGTAAGGGCTTTATCTGCCTGCAGGATGGATTTCTCTATTGCTGCCTGAGACTGCAAAAATATCTGGAAGATCTCTCTTGCCTGTGGAACAAAGAAAAAGTCAAAAACTTAGATTTCTTTAAAAGACTAAGTTCTTGAAAATCTAGGTTCTGAAGATTAATGTTACATAAATATGTCCATATAATTTTTATGTTTCAAATTCTGCAGTGGCTCCCTATAAAGTGTGCAAGCTCCTTAGTGACCAGAGGCCCTCCTCATCTCCTGCTTCCTGTCTCCCTCCGGGTCCTCTTCCAGTGCTACCTCCCTGTAGCTGTTCTTGGTTACAGCCATTCATAACTAGGTACAGTTCTACAATCCCACAATCTCTAATGCTTTTATATATTTGCCTTCCAGTGTGAAATGCTGCTGATATGTGCTGTTACTTTTTCCTGTTACTCGCTAACTGGAACTTTAGGCAAGTTATTTAATTGTCTTTGGGCACTAAGTTCCAACCTATAAAATTTCCAAATTAAGGATGCTTCTTAAAGTCATTTGGAAGATTACATTAAAAGGTCTAAGAAAATAGTTTAACAGTATGCCTGAGGTTACAACCGTTGAATATAAGTTAATTGTATTATTACTAATACTACGCTTATTACCACCACCTATGCATCCCATTTTCATAGGTCCATAAGTGTTATTGCTCTCTATGTAATTGTCTATTTCTTTCAACAGATGAATATAAGTTAATGGTATTATTACTACTATTACGTTTATTACAGCCACCTATGTATCCCATTTTCATAGGTCTATAAGTGTTATTACTGTGTATGCAATTGTCTATTTCACTCTCTTATTTTGATCAGATTGGAGCACAGACTCTGATTTAACCTTGTAAATAGCCAGCCCTTTCCACACGAATAATTTTTGTTCTGTCTCTCCCAGATTTCTAAGAGTGTTATTCTTTCTTTGGGAATAAACATTTCGTTTTTTTTAAATATATATTTTCTGGGAATAAACATTTCTATTCTAATAAATGATAAAGAGTGGACATCAAAAACTAAGATGTTATGCTGTCCCACTGCTCTCTCATTATGGCTGGTGCTGAAGATTCCATTTACTCCATCCTATCAGCTTCCCATGCTCTCCTTATTCCTCACCTTTACTCCTTTCCTGGGCACTTGCCAATAGTCCTGTTCAATCTTTTCCTTTGTTTCCATGTAGAGCTTGTACCCTCCAGGAACAGAGAAACTTCCTGCTGAAATACTTTCCATTAGGGCCTTTGAGAGCTCATTGAGTTTGGCCTGGCAGTATTGAACAGATGACTCTTCATTCTGCAGCAAGAAATCCCCCTTCTTATTCACTATGATTCTCTGCAAGGGAAATGTAGGGAGATGTCACCAGGAAAAATAAAAAGAGGACACGAAATTCTACAAAATCTTGTAGAGATGGCAATCTAACTGAGGTCTACATGAGAAAAACATTCTAGTGGAGTAATTGTGGACTAAATCAGAAACACAAAACTTGAAATATTCACCACTGTGAAAACTCTTGGTAAGTTTATGGGTTTTTCTCAGGTTTCTCATCTGTGACATGATGGGATTGAATTCTATAATCTCTGGTTTTTTACAGCTGTAGCATCTTGTGCTCCTTGTCATTAGTGGTACAATGATATAATAAGGAGAACTATAATTTGAACAACGCCCTAGAATGAGGGTCTGGTAAGATACGTGTTGGTTCCTGGGAAAGGCAGACTGTGTTCAGAAAAAGCGCACCACTCAGGGGTAACTTGTGGGTGTTTAGGGCAGCTTTAGAATCCTTAGAAGTGTCCACTTAAGGAGGATCTTAGGAGTTTGTACTGATTTTACCTCAGTTATCCGAAAGTTTTTAGGATAAGTGCCCAAGTCTTGAGGAGATAAAAGAGGGATACGTAGTCTTTTGAAACCCTATTCTTCATGAGAATCCAAGGTAAGTTATTTCTCAGTAAGAGATGAGCCTTGAGATCAATAAAGGCAACTATAAGCGACATTCTTCAAAGGGAAAGATCATGAACAGCAATGACTGAGACAGATTACCACAAGCATCTTCTGGAATTCTTGGTTTTCATCCTTGAAGGAGTGCTCCATGAAGACTGCAATGGCTTCCCTCTCACAGGCCGTGTGCACATCCAGCAGCTCCTGGAGTGTGTCTGTGGGGAACCTCACCCGCTGGGCCATCTGCTGGCTGTAGTGGTCGGCTGCCCTCTGCACAGCAGCTGAGTTCTCCCGCTGGGCCAGAGTTGTCACCGCATTCTCCAAACAAGGCACTGCGCCACTGTTGATGGTGTCTACATAGGTCAGCACCAAAATCCCTAGCCCTGAATAAACCAGGAAATTCAGATAATAAATATGGAGTTGAAGCTCAATGGGATCCAGGACTCTAAGCACGCACGCACGCACACACATACACACACACACACACACACACACACACACACACACGCACATGTCCCATCTCTTACCCCACATACATACACACACACTCCTACCTGCTTCTGCTATTATCACTTTCAGTTTCTTATTGGCTTTTCATTATTATAGTTCTTCAGACCGCAGTGATAAAAAATTGGAATATCTACTTTCATCTAACATACTAGAGGACATTGGAAATATAATTTCTCATTTAGAAAATTATAAGGAAGATTTTTACACAGGTAAATGATAAGGCAGGGTAAATCTTATTACATTTACTCCTAATTCTGAAGCTACCAATGGATTTTCATGGACATATGGGCTAATATTTATTCCCAGACTTTTTTAAACTTCCAAAATATCTTTGGTATTCTCTTTGCAAAGAATACTAAACACATAGGACTTCCCCAAAGAAAAAAAAAGTATATATCTGTTTTATACCCAGTTAGTTATTTCATTATAGGTGGAGGTATATTTTAGATATCTGGAATCCACAGATATCAGTAACAAGATTTGCAATGTCAGAGAGGGTAAATCGCAATAAGTCAGATAAAATACATGTTTCTTCATGAAGTATGAATACCTGTATACACATAGTACTATATAGAATCAAACAAAAATGCTGAAAAACACATTATGCAACATATTCAACACATTAGGCCCCACTAAAATGTAAAAAGGAGACTCACGATTCCCTGTGATCATGATTCCCTCTTTGAGGGTCTTGGTCCTTGCATGTGTAAAGATGTAAGAACAGAAAATGTTTGTTTGCTCCAGGAATTTAGGATCCAGTTGCTTTTCAGACACCTTCTCAATATTGGCTAGAAGGTCTTTGTCATTTGTTGGCCGGTCAAAGACAAAACACTTCCGTCTTGGAAAGAAATGCCTGATGCATTCCCTGGGCAAATTGGACATTTGGGCTTTGGGATTCCCACCTTAGGGATAAGAAAAACAGAGAATATAGTGAAAACAGTCTTGGTATATGAGACCTAAAGATATTTTTGACAGAGTTTGTTGTATCTTTATGGTCTTCTACATTTATAGAACTCCTTTAACACAAATGTTCAATACTTCTTTGCACATCAAACTTGTAACATTGCTATAACTTTGGTAAGAAAATTCGGGAGACTTCAAATTATACTGCTTTGGTTACAAGGCTACAGTAAGCAAAACACCGTGGTACTAGTACAAAAATAGACACAGTGACCAACGGAACAGGTGAGAGAACCCAGAAATAAAGCCACACAATTACAACTATCTGATCTTTGACAAAGTCTACCACAAGCAAGCAATGAGGAAAGGAATCCCATGTTCAACAAATGGTGCTGGGATAAATGGCTTAGCCATATGCAGAAAAGTGAAACTGGATCCCTATCTTATTCCATATCCAAAAATTAAGTCAAGATATATTAAAGCCTTAAATGTACAACCTAAAACTATAGAAATCCTTAAATACCATTTCGGAAATTCTGGACATAGGCCCTACAAAGATTTTACAATGAAGATGACCAAGAGGAATTGCAACAAAAACAACAATTGACAAATGGAATGTGATTAAACTAAAGAGCTTCTGCACAGCAAAAGAACTACCACAGAGTAAACAGACAAGCCACAGAATGGAAGATAATATTTGTAAAGTATACATCTGTCAAAGATCTAATATCCAGAATTTGTAAGGATCTTAAATGACTTACCAAGCAAAAAATGAACAATCCCATTAAAAAGTGGGCAAAGGACATAAACAGATACTTTACCAAAGAAGACATACATGTACCCCACAAACATACAAAAAAAATGCTGAACATCACTAATCATTAGAAAGATGCAGGTCAAAACCACAATGAGATATCATCTCACAAAAATCTGAATAGCTATTCCTAAGAAGTTAAAAAAATAACAGTTGCTGGCAAGGTTGCAGGGAAAAGGGAATACTTATACACTGCTGGTGAGAATGTAAATTATTTAAGCCACTGTGGAAAGCAAGTTGGCAATTTTTCAAAGAACTTAAAACAGAACTAACATTTGACAAAGCAATCCCATTATTGGGTGTATACGCTAAGGAACAGAAATCATTCTACTGTAAAGACACATGCACGTGTAGGTTCACAGCAGCACTATTCACAATAGCAAATACATGAAATCAACCTAAATGTCCATCAATGGTGGACTGGATGAAGGTAATTTGGTACATATACAACATGTAATACTACATAGCCATAAAAAATGAATGAAATCATGTCCTTCACTTCAACATAGATGAAGCTGGAGGGAATTCTTCTCAGAGAATTAATACAGAAACAGAAAACCAAACACAGCATGTTCTCACTTATAAAGTGTGAGCTAAACATTGATTGTACATGGTCACAAAGAGAGGAACAATAGACATTGGGGACAATGTGAGGGTGGAGGGTAGGAAAAGGGTGAGGATTGAAAAACTACCTATCAGGTTCTCTGCTCATTACTTGTGTGATGAAATGATCTATACACCATACTCCACAACATGCAATTTACTCAGGTAATAACTTGTACATATAGTCTCTGAACATAAAATACAACTGGTAAGAAAAAAAGAGAGAGAGAGAGAAGAGTCTGAGACCTAATCTCTCTGTCTGTCTGTCTGTCTCTCTCTCTCTCTCTTGCTCCCTCTCTTGCCATGTGACATTCCTGGAACCCTTTCTCCTTCCACCATGTGTAAAAGCTTCCTGAGGTCCTGACCAGAAGCAGATGCTGGTGCCATGCTTGTGCAGCCTGCAGAACTGTAAGCCAAATGAACATCTTTGCTTTAAAAACACCCAGTCTCAAGTATTCCTTTACAGCATTGTAAAACGAACTAACATACACATACATTTTTATTTGCAGGCATTTCATTGTAATTTCATGGCTAACAATCATCTAGTCAATTGTTTTCCTAAACACAGAAAAGCAGTGGGCAAAATAAGGATCACAAGTATCTGTTCTTTAGAAAGTCTTAGCACCCACTATGGACCATTTATAATTTGAATGCTAAAGAACAAATTATATAAAGAACACATTTGTCTTGAATAATTTCTCTCTACTTTAGGCTCTACTTTTCTTAACTAAACTCAGCTCTAGTCCCAAGAGCTTTTCAACATACCCCTCACTGCCCATTTTTACAGACCTCAATCTAAAACACAAAGGCAACCCTAGAGATGATTGACAATGTTTAGCAGACCCCATACCCAACTGGACCACCCACAACCCAGATCATGCACTGATACCTTGAATCAGCTTTAAGGCATTCTCCAGGTACTGATCTTCTGTGATAGGGTAACCGTTCAACTTTAGCTCCAGGGTGAAATCCCGTACAGTCCAAATAAAGTCTGGGAAGAAACTCACAAACTCTGTGGAATTTTCTGCTTTATCTGAACTTGGGGATGACTTCGACTTAATTAGTTCTGTGAGCTCTGTCACATAACTAGGACTTGGTTAAGGAAAAGAAACCCCCTGTCCACAATTGCCACATTTCCTTTATAAAAATGTTATAAACACTTTCTTTTCTTCTGTACCTCCTATGCTGTACCAATGGTAACTAAATGAAAGGAAAGGAGGAAATGACTTGATCTTTATTCCCATAAAGTCAAGCAAAACATGGTGGTTCATTTCCTGGAAGGATACTGCAGCTGCTCCAGGGCCTGGTGATTGATGGTGCTCATGCTATTATACACAAAAGTGCTGCACAGGAGAACAGCCAGGGCAAAAATCCAGGAGTCATTCTTAGGGTCACCCTAAAAAGCACATTAGAGTAAGGGACTTAGGAGTGCAGTCTTTAGAAATTCGTGGAGACATTTAGTTTATGAGTCTTTCTTTTATGATTTCAGCTAACGTTCATGCTGTACAAATAGAACAGACATAAATGTAAATAATAGCTTTGATAATTACAATATGTATTCTCATCACAATTTCTTTATATGTAAAAGGGTTCTAATCTTTATAGGGTTTTCTTTTTCCTCAATTGCATGGAATTGTACGTATAGAAAAACTAGTACTGCATCTGCTTCTAACTTGGGTATTCATGATGGATATCAGCACTTCTTCAGTCTACACATATTTGTGGGCCATGAGCCATACAAAATTTACCATAGTAGACATAGCTGGGATTCTAATTATATCTAATTAAATTCAACAAATATTTATAAGCACTGCAAATGTTTCCCACTGTTCCTATGTTTAGAAAAACAAATTTAATAATCACACTTTTACTCTCAAGATGGCTGTTTCAAAGCAATGACAAACATTCAAAACAATAAATTCAATAAAAATAACAATATTTATAAAAAGATTACATCTTAGTAATGTATATGGGTGGAATTTACAGCTATAATATTAAATTTTAAAATATGTCTATCAAGGAAGATTCGTGCAATTAAAGTTGGAAAAAGTGTGTGTGACATGAAAGTTTCCTGGAAGTCATGAGCTGATTATGAATTGGTAGAATGTGGATTTGAAGAAATGAAAGTGATTCTGCATGTAGAAAGACTCAGAGAAACAAAACTAGAAATTATAGACTGCAGGGGTCTTTGCAATAAGAATAGAGTTTGACTGAACAAAGGATAAGTAGTCAAGATTGGATAGTGAGCTCAGGTACACAGTTGATGAAGGGCAGGACAAGGTTAATTTCTTTATATAAATTATAGTGTTCTAAATTATAGAATAACCCAGAAGTTATTTCTACTCCAAACAGTGTATATAGCTGGTTCTTAGAGCAAATGTAAAAACTGAGATGTAGAAATTTTCACATGGTTCCAGAAGATTCTATGGGAGTCTAGAGGTAGAAAACACTATTCATTTCCTTATTTCTTCCAAACCCTGGTTTTTAAAAAGTAACCAGAATTCTTCTTGGATGTGGAACTCATGACAAACAATAAACTATTTAGACAGAAGTATATCACTGATATGTGGCTTTATAATAATTATAAAAATTACAATGATATATTATTTATTTATTTGTTTATAGAAATAGGGTTTCACTATGTTGCCCAAGTTGGTCTTGAACTTCTCTGGCCTCAAGTGATCTCCCTGCCTCAAATTCCCAAGGCACTAGGATTACAGGCATAAACCACCATGTCCAGGCCCCAGTGACATTCTTTAAGAAATATAAAAAACGATCCTAAAATTAACATGGGACCACAAAATATCCTGAATAATCAAAGCAATATTGAAAAGGTATCACACTTCCTGATTTCAAAACATGTTGCAAAGCTACAGTAACAAAAATAGTATGGTGCTTGGATAAAAACAGGTGTACAGACCAATGGAGAACTCAGAAATAAACCTCTGCATTAATAGTCAGTTGATCTTTGATAAGGGTACCAAGGACACACAATGGGAAAAGACTGTCTCTTCAACAAATGGTACTGGGAGCACTGGATATCTACATGCATGCAGAAGAGTGAAATTTGATCCTATTGCACATCATATATAAAAACAACTGAAAATGGATTAGTGACTTAAATGTAAAACCAAAAACTGGATCCAGAAATCCCAATACTGTGTATCTATCCAAGGAAAATGAAATGAGGATGTTGAGACATCTACACTTCCATATTTATTGCAGTGTTACTCACAATCGCCAAGGCATGGAGTCAACTTAAGTTTCCATCAACACGTGAATGAATTTTTTTAAATGTGTCATGTAAACATAAAACGATTTAGTCTTTAAAAAGAAGGAAAGCCCATCATTTGCAATAACTTGGATGAACTTGGAGGACATTAAGCTAAGTGAAATACGCCAGACACTGAAAGACAAATACGACATGACCTCACTTATATGTGGAGTCTGAAAAATTGAGCTTATAGTAGTAGAAAGTTGAATGGTGGTTACCAGGGAATAGTGGGGAGAGGAAAGAGAAGGCTGGGAGATGCTGGTCAAATATACAAAGTTTTAGTTAGATAGTAGTTGGGAAAAGATATGAAACCATAAATCTACCAAGAAAATATAGAGAAAAAGCTTCTTGGCATTGGTTTGGGGAATGATGTTTTTGGATATGACATCAAAAGCACAGGGAAAAAAAGCAAAATTAGGCAAGCAGGATTTCATCGAACTAAAAGGTTTCAGCACAGCAAAGGAAATAATCAACTTAGTGAAAATGCTACCTACAGAATGGGAGGAAAATATTTGTAAACAGTAAATTTGATAAAGGGTTAGTAGCAAAAATATATAAAGAACTCATGCCAACTCAATAACAAAAAATAAATGACCTCATTGAAAATGAGCAAAGACCTGAATATACATTTCTTAGCAAAAAACCTACAAATGAAAAGCAGGTATGTAAAAAGATGCACAAATCATGAATCAGAGTAGAACGGTGTGCTTGCCAGGGCCTGGAGGTGGAAGAAATGCAGAGATGTTGGTTAAAGAGTACAAAAATTCAGTTATGCAAGGTATACTCTGGAGATCTACTGTATAGCAGAGTGACTATAATTAACAATATTATATTAATTGTAACCTGGAATTTTGCTAAGAGGATACATCTTAAGTGTTCTCACCCCCACCTCCAAAAAAAAGAGAATGGAAAAAACAAAAACCGTACCCATGTGAGGTGATGGCTATATTATTGGCTTAACTGTGGTGATCATTTCACAATGTATATACATATTAAAACATCAAGCTGCATACATTAAGTATATATAATTTTATTTGTCAATTTTACCTCACTAAAGCTGAAAAATAAACAGAATTTCTAACTCCTGTTTGGACACAAAGACTAGAGAAATTTAGAAACTATTTTCAAATAAGTTTCAAACTAACACAAAAAAATATATAAATTGTTCATTTTATATATTAATCGGAAGCTAAATACCAAATATTCATCTTAAAATGTTTGCTGTGGGAAAAACACATACTTTCATAGAACCAGTACAGTTGGAATTGTCTCAAAGCCTTCTGGAATACTATGTGGATAGTTGATTAGCTTCACCATATAAAATATATAAACCTAACTCTCCTAATTTCTACCCTCAAATGCATCCTTCACGTGGTAGCTCAGAAAGTAGATGAGATGCCCTTCCTCATCACCTGGGATTGGGTCAATACTTCTCCTCTTTCCCATCAAGGCACTCTTACAAGCAACTGCACATGGTGAAAGCTGTGATGTGCTGCCTGAATCACAGGTGTCAGCTCTCTTAATGGGAAAGCCTTACAGGGGAGACTTCCAATGAGTAATCAGCATGAGGGATGGAGGCCTGACACCCTTGTTCCAAAAGAGGAAAACTCAAAGAAGCCATTCCAGCTACAGAGCTCCTTGTGGAATTGACAGAGGGCAGGGACTGCATTGCAGTTCAAACTCCTCCATCTCGACAACTTGCTTCTTTCCCAGTCACACAACATTAAATCTGAGTGCATATTATCTGGTCTCCTCTATGACACTGAGTGCCTTTACTTTCTTCACCAATATCTATGCTACTCAGCCCAGCAGCCTGGAGCTGAGCTGCTTAACTAGTTTTTATCAAATTGAATCAAATCATTCACCACAGGGCCAAGAAATAAAAGAATGTTTTACCTAATATACTGAGGCAGAAATTAAAGAAAGAAAATAAAATCATACAAAGGACAGAGATAGGCCCTCTGTGTTGGATTAGAGACAGTCAACTGGCTCAGGCTCTGGGAGGAACCTTGATAAAGTATCTCAGAAGCCAGAGCTAAAGAGAATGTGCTCTGAGAACTTTCCCAACACTCCCTCACTGCCTGGAGGAAAACATAAATTTTCTCCCTAATCCTTGCCTTTGTAGTATAAGTAAACCTAAGAATTTATAGATATCTGTTTCCCATGTATTGCTTGCCTGTTTTGTATCTAAATAACACAGTGAAGGTCATGAGAAATACCCAAACAGGATAGCAGCTGCAAACATCAAAGAAGGAGGTTAATGCAGAGCCCTGCAGGACTGGTCTGCACCAGCCTGGACTCAAGGCCACTGGGCCCACATACCAAGAGTCACGAGTAAGCCTGTCACTGTATTGATTAACTGCTTTTTTTCTCGCTTCTGTAAACTGGCTTCTTTTTGCACCCTAAGATACATAAAAAGCCCTCACTTTGTTTGTCCAGGGCTCAGTCCTTTGCATGTGAATCCACTGAGCTGGTGTACACCTTAAATAAATCTTCCTGTAACCTCATCCAGTTTCCTGATTTCCTGCAACAATACCATGATATCTAATCTTATAGAAAAGTCTCATTCAAACAGGCCAAACTTTGTCTCACTCACTATAGTTGGATTTCTAGGTTTCAGAAACAGATCACAGCAGTTAAACTACAAGGTTCATAAAGAGTTTAGGAGAATATCCAGAAAGAAAAGAATGTGTCTGTGACTATTTTCCTTACCTTTTCCACATCGCCCAGACCCTCAGTGTCCAGAAGGACCAGGGTGTGATTTGGCTTGAAGGGGTGGGGCACACACCACATCCAGATGCCCTTAGTTTCAGACTGCACCGTGGATCCCAGAGGGAAGCCTGCAGGGAAGAGGAGGAAGCTAAGCACAGGGACAGCAGAGCAGCCAAGCAGTCCTGGGGCCACAGTGTCAGACTGGTGGATTGTAACTATCCCAGCATAGAAAATGGTACTTTCTGTATTTCCTTGAGAATGGCTCTTTCTGTGAGTCATCTACTTCAAAAAGCAAGAGACATTAAATGGGATAATGATCCAAGCAAGGGCTCAAAATAGAGATGAAGAAGAATCCATAAATCAGACAAAATTGAGGTCACTGATAGCAAGAACATCTTAAAAAGTGGTGAGGTTTGGATATAGTTTGGAAGCAGACCCGAGATGGCTGAATAGGAGCAGCTCTGGAGTGCAGTTCCCAGTGAGAACAACACAGAGGGTGAGTGAACACTGCATTTCCAAATGAGTTATTATTGCCCATAGACCAGGAGATTCCTGGGCTGAAAAGTGACACGAGTTTTCAGCATGGCTGTTTCAGCAAGCACAGTGGGTCTCCACACAAAAACTCACACAAATCTGGGCGGCTGTTTCAACTGGCACCTGGAACACCTGAGAGACAGAGCTGCCCATTCAACGGAAAAAAAGGGGGCTGAAACAGGGAGCCAGGTGATCTGGCTTGATGTGTCCCACCCCCACGAAGACCAGCAATCTGAACCACTCTGAATTGAGACTTTCGCAGCAAGCGCAGCTGGACCTGGGACATTCCAGCTCTGTTAGGGGAAGGGCATCTGCCATTACCAAGGCAGTGGGCCACTACCAAGGCAGTCCGCCATTACCGAGGCAGTCCGCCATTACCGACACAGTCCGCCATTACTGAGGTAGTTCTAACTATACCTCTATAAACAAAACCACAAGGAAGTTCACATAGAAGCTGGGCAGAGCCCATGACAGCTCAGCAACACCTCTGCGGGCAGACTGTGACTAGGCTACCTCCTTGCTAGGCAGGGCAGCTCTGAAAAAAGGCAGCAGCATGTCAGGAATGTATAAATAAAGCCCCACCTTCCCAGGACAGAGCACCTGGGGAAAAAGGTGGTTATGAGTTCTGCTGCAGCAGACTTAAATGTGCCTGCTGAGCAGCTCTGAACAGAACAATGGAGCTCACAGCTCAGCACTTGAGCTCCCATATGGGACAGACTGACTCCTCAAGCAGCTCCCCAACCACCGTATATACAAAGAGTCAACTCATAAAGGAGAGCTCAGGCTGACATCTGGCGGGTATCCTTCTGGGACGAAGATAACAGAAAAAGAAACTGGTAGCAACCCTTACTGTTCTGCATCTGCAGCACGTGACCCCCAGGCCAGCAGGGTCTGGAGTGGACCTCCAGCAGTCCTACAGCAGAGGGGCCTGACTGCTAGAAGGAAAACTAAAAAACAGAAAGAAATAACTTCATCATCAACAACAAGGACGTCCACTCAGGGACCCCGTCTGAAAGTCAAGAACTACAAAGACCACAGGTATATAAATCCACAAAGATGGGAAGAAACCAGTGGAAAAGGGATGAAAACACCCAAAAGCAGAATGCCTCTCCTCCTCCAAGGGATCACAACTCATCACCAGCAAAGGAACAAAGCTGGATGGAGAATGAGTCTGATGAATTGACAGAAACAGTCTTCAGAAGGTGAACAAACTTCTAACAAACTTCTCTGAGCTAAAAGAACATGTTCTTCCCCAATGTTAAGAAACTAAGACTCTTGAAAAGGGGTTTGATGAAATGGTGATGAGAATAAACAGCTTAGAAAGGAATATAAATGAATTGACATAGCTGAAAAACACAACATGAGAACTTTGCGAAGCACACACAAGTTTCAATAGCCGAATTGACCAAGCAGAAGAAAGGATATCAGAGATTGAAGATCAACTCAATGAAATAAAATGAGAAAGCAAGATTAGAGAAAAAAGAGTGAAAAGAAATGAACAAAGTCTCCAAGAAACATGGGATTATGTGAAAAGACCTAATCTATGTTTGATAGCTGTACCTGAATGTAATGGAGAGAATGAATCCAAGCTAGAAAACACTCTTCAGGATATGAAGGAGAATTTCCCCAACCTAGCAAGGCAGGCCAATATTCAAGTCCAGGAAATATAGAGAACGCCACGTGATGGAGAGAATGAATCCAAGCTGGAAAACACACTTCAGGACATTATCTAGGAGAAATTCCCCAAACTAGCAAGGCAGGCCAATATTCAAGTCCAGTAAATACAGAGAACTCCACAAAGATATTCCTCAAGAAGAGCAACCCCAAAGCACATAATCATCAGATTCACCAGGGTTGAAATGAAGGAAAAAGTGCTAAGGGCAGCCAGAGAGAAAGGTCGGGTTACCGACAAAGGGAAGCCCATCATACTCACAGTGGATCACTTGGCAGTAACCCTACAAGCCAGAAGACAGTGGGGGCCAATATTCAACATCCTTAAAGAAAAGAACTTTGAACCTAGAATTTCATATCCAGCCAAACTAACCTTCATGAGCAATGAAGAAATAAAATCCTTTATGAACAAGCAATTGCTGAGAGATTCGTCACCACCAGGCCTGCCTTACAAGAGCTCCTGAAAGAAGCACAAAACACGGAAAGGAACAACCAGTACCAGTCACTCCAAAAATGTACCAAATGATAAAAAGCATCAACAAAATGGATAAACTGTGTCAACAAATTGGCAAAACAACCAGCTAGCATCAAAATGGCAGCATCAAATTCACACATAACAATATTAGCCTTAAATGTAAATGGGCTAAATGTCCCAATAAAAAGGCAAATGGATCGAAAGCAAAACCCCATCAGTGTGCTATATCCAGGAAACCCATTTCATGTTCAAGGATATACATAGGCTCAAAATAAAGGGATGGAGGAAGAGTTACCAAACAAATGGAGAGCAAAAAAAAAAAAAAAGAAAAAAAAAAAGCCGGAGTTGCAATCCTAGTCTCTGATAAAATAGACTTTAAACCAACAAAGATCAAAAGAGACAAAGAAGGGCACTACATAATGGTAAAAGGATCAATGCAACAAGAAGAGCTAACAACCCTAAATATATACGCACTCAATACCACAGCACCCAGATACATAAAGCAAGTTCTTAATGACCTACGAAGAGACTTAGACTCCCACACAATAATAATGGGAGACTTTAACACTCCACTGTCAATATTAGCAATGAGACAGAAAATTAACAAGGATATCCAGGATTTGAACTCAGATCTGGACCAAGCAACCTAATACACATGTACAGAACCATCCACCCCAAATTCACAGAATATACATTCTTCTCAGCACCACATCACCTCTACTCTAAAACTGACCACATAATTGGAAGTAAATCACTCCTCAGCAAATGCAAAAGAATGGAAATCATAACAAACAGTCTCTCAGACCACAGTGCAATCAAATTAGAACTTGGGATTAAAAAACTAACTCAGAACCACACAACTTCATGGAAACTGAACAATGGGCTCTTGAATGTTGACTGGATAAACAATGAAATGAAGGCAGAAATAAAGATGTTCTTCGAAACCAATGAGAACGAAGACATAATGTACCAGAATCTCTGGGAGACATTTAAACCAGTGACTAGAGGGAAATTTACAGCAATAAATGCCCATATGAGAAGCAAGGAAAGATCTAAAATCAACACCCTATTGTCAAAATTGAAAGAGCTAGAGGAGCAAGATCAAAAAAACCCAAAAGCCAGCATAAGACAAGAAATAACTAAGATCAGAGCAGAACTGAAGGAGATAGAGACACACAAAAACCTTCAAAAAAATCAATAAATCCAGGAGCTGGTTTTTCAAAAAGATCAACAAAATAGACAGACCACTAGCCAGATTAAGAAAAAAGAAAAGAGAGGAAAAGAATCAAATAGATGCAATAAAAAATGATAAAGGAGATCACCACCGATTCCACAGAAATACAAACTGCCATCAGAGATTACTACAAACAGCTCTATGCACATGAACCACTAAACCTGGAAGAAATGGATAAATTCCTGGAAACTTGCACCCTCCCAAGCCTAAACCAGGAAGGAGTCAAAACCCTGAATAACCAATAACAAGGGCTGAAGTTGAGACACCAATTAATAGCCCACCAACTAAAAAGAGCCCAGGACCAGATGGGTTCACAGCCGAATTCTACCAGACATACAAAGAGGAGCTGGTCCCACTCCTTCTGAAACTATTCCAAACAATCCAAAAAGAGGGAATCCTTCCCAAATCATTTTATGAAACCAACATCATCTTGATACCAAAATCTGGCAGAGACTCAACAAAAAAAGAAAACTTCAGGCCAATATCCATGATGAACATAGATGCAAAAATCTTGAATAAAATACTGGCAAACCGATTGCAACAGCACATCAAAAAGCTTATCCACCATGATCAAGTAGGCTTCACCAAGGGATGCAAGGCTGGTTCAATATATGCAAGTCTATAAACGTAATCCACCACATAAACAGAACCAAAGACAAAAACTACATCATTATCTCAATAGATGCAGAGAAGGCCTTTGACAAAATTCAACAGCCCTTTATGCTAAAAAGGCTCAATAAAATAGGTATCAACAGAATGTATCTCAAATTAATAAAAGCTATTCACGACAAACCCACAGCCAATGTCATACTGAATAGGCAAAAACTGGAAGCATTCCCTTTGAAATCTGGCACTAGACAAGGATGCCTTCTCTCACCACTCCTATTCAATATAATATTGGAAGTTCTAGCCAGAGAAATCAGGCAAGAAAAAGAAATAAAGCGTATTCAATTTAAAAAGGAAGAAGTCAAATTGTCTCTATTTGCAGACAACATGATTGTATATTTACAAGACCCCATTGTCTCAGCTCAAAATCTCCTTAAGCTGATAAGCAACTTCAGCAAAGTCTCAGGAGACAAAATCGATGTGCAGAAATCACAAGTATTCCTACATAGCAATAACAGACAAACAGAGAACCAAATCAAGAGTGAACTACCATTCACAATTGCTACAAAGAGAATAAAATACCTAGGAATACAACTAACAAAGGACGTGAAGGACCTCTTCAAGGAGAACTACAAACCACTGCTCAAGGAAATAAGAGAGGACACAAACAGATGGGAAAATATTCCATGCTCATGATTAGGAAGACTGAATATTGTGAAAATGGCCATACTGCCCAAAGTAATTTATAGATTCAATGCTATCCCCATCAAGCTACCTATGACCCTCTTCACAGAACTGGAAAAAAAAACACCTTAAACTTCATATGGAACCAAAAGAGAGCCCGCATAGCCAAGACAATTCTAAGCCAAAGGAACAAAGCTAGAGGCATCACACTACCTGACTTCAAACTATACTACAAGGTAACAGTAATCAAAACAGCATGGTACTGGTACCAAAACAGAGATACAGACCAAGGGAATAGAACAGAGGCCTCAGAGGCAATGCCACACATCTACAACCATCTGATCTTCAACAAACCTGACAAAAACAAGCAATGGGGAAAGGAGTGTCTGTTTAATAAATGGTGTTGGGATAACTGGCTAGCCATGTGCAGAAAGCTGAAGCTGGACCCTTTCCTCACACCTTACACTAAAATTAACTCCAGATAGATTAAAGACTTAAACATAAGACCTAACACCATAAAAACCCTAGAAGAAAACCTAGGCAAAACCATTCAGGACATAGGCATAGGCAAGGACTTCATGACTAAAACACCAAAAGCAATGGCAACAAAAGGTAAAATAGACAAATTGGATCTCATTAAACTCCAGAGCTTCTGTACAGTAAAAGAAACAATCGTTAGAGTGAACTGGATACCAACAGAATGGGAAAAATTTTTTGCCATCTATTCATCAAACAAAGGGCTAATATCCAGAATCTACAAAGAACTAAAACAGATTTACAAGAAAACAAACAAACAAACCCATTCAAAAGTGGGCGAAGGACATGTACAGACACTTTTCAAAAGAAGACATTTATGAGGTCAACAAATGTTTGGAAACACGCACATCATCACTGGTCATTAGAGAAATGCAAAGCAAAACCACATTGAGATACCATCTCATGCCAGTTAGAATGATGATCATTAAAAAATCTGGAGATGACAGATGCTGGAAAGGATGTAGAGAAATAGGAACACTTTTACAATGTTGGTGGGATTATAAATTAGTTCAACCATTGCGGAAAACAGTGTGGCAATTCCTCAAGGACCTAGAAATAGAAATTCCATTTGACCCAGCAATCCCATTACTGGGTATATATCCAAAGGATAATAAATCATTCTATTATAAAGACACACGCACACATATGTTCACTACAGCACTGTTTACAATAGCAAAGACCTTGGAGCCAACCCAAATCCCCATCAATGGTAGACTGGACAAGAAAAATGTGGCACATATACACCATGGAATACTATGCAGCCATAAAAAACAATAAGTTCGTGTTCTTTGTAGAGACATAGATGAATCTGGAAACCATCATTCTCAGCAAACTGACACAAGAATAGAAAAACAAACACTACATGTTCTCACTCATAGGCAGGTGTTGAACAATGAGAACACATGGACACAGGGAGGGGAGCAACACACTCTGGGGTCTGTTTGGGGAGGGAATAGGGGATGGACAGCGGGGAGTAATGAGGTTGGGGAGGGATAACAGGGGGCGAAATGCCAGATATAGGCGAGGGGGGGATAGAGGCAGCAAACCACATTGCCATGTATGTACCTATGCAACAATCCTGCATGTTTTACACACGTACCCAGAACCTAAAGTGCAATTAAAAAAAAAAAGCAGTGGGGTTCAAAGTCAGAGAGGAGTGGGTTGAAGAAAGATGCGAGAAGGAAAAAACTCAAAAAAGGAGATTGAGAGAATGTTTTTTGCACTGAAAAGTGATTAAAGACAAAAATAAAACACACACACACACACACACACACACACACACACACACACACACACAACAGGAGTTGCTTGCCACAATGGGATATGAAATTCAGGAAGGGTTTTTAAGATGATACAGGTTCAAACATCTTTGTATGTTGATGGGAACATTATGTAAAGAAAGCAAAATATGTTATAAGAAAAAGGAGACACAATTACAGGAGCCCAGGACTTGATTACACAAGACATGGTAGGATTCTGAGTACTAGTAGAGGATATTTTCCTTAAAGGAAAGAATATGGGGACAGGCTACAGTAAGGTAGTGACTTGGTGGTGAGAATTAGAATGAGAAGTTGGTTTATTGAAAGGAATTGGGTTTCCCCTTTACATGCCTAGGTTAGAGCATTAAAATGCTGGAATCAAGCAATTGGCCTGTGTCCCAGGATACCACTCACCATAATTCTGTCCTGCCAAACGGTTCATCAAGTAGGATTTGCCTGTACGGTACAGTCCAACAATGGCCACCACCACCACTGGCTGAGAAATCTGGTCAAGAATCTGTATAGCTTGCTGGTTCACCGACAGCTTCTCTTCGTTGTTTTCCACCAGGCAAATGGGAGCCAACATGTTGGGTCCAGATTCCATGGCAACGGCCAACCTAGAAGAGCCTCCTAGTAGAAATAAGGTTGCAGTCTCTGCCTCAGTTATCCAAGCACCCATAAATTTAGGATTGATGAGACTTTTGCGTTTCTATGAGACAACATGTAACCCAGCAATGGTGAACTACAAAAGGCTTCCTCCATCATTCCCCCAAATCTGTAATGGTGTTAGTGATGAAGCATATTATCTTATCATCTCCATCATTTTTCTTGGTAAAAATAAAATTCAAGAAATTGTTATCATAATAGTGGGCCGACAGTATTCCAAGACCTGTGATACCTGCCTTAAATATCTGATCTCACTGAGAGCTTGCAAGTTAGAGGTTATAGTACCCAAATATATGCAAATGAGATAAATGAGTCTCACAAAGGCTGAGTGCATAAGTCATAGAGCCAGAATTACAAATCTAGACAATTGCGCAAAATGGCACACTATGAAGTTCTAAGTCCTTCTTCTCTCTTAGGAGACATTAAAAAATGGAAAAACTGGCTAAAATTATCTTATAGAAGCTCTAGAAAATAGTCAAAGGTCTATAGCAACCAAGCAAACGCCCAGTAGAAAAAAAATAAGGCACATTCAAAATGGTGAGAGATTCCATAGTGTTTTAATTGCCCTTTCCCTACCCATTTGCCTCAAAAACATAGTCTTGGTCTGGAGGAGGTGGCAGTCCAGTTTCCACTACCCTTCCCTGAATTGGAGGGAGTAGAACAGACTTTATTTAAAACCTGATATTCTGTCCAGGGGCTATCTTTTCTGTTGTATGTTCTGCCAACTTGGATCTCCAGTATCAATGATTTCTTGTGTATGATGCCGAAACCACCGAAGACTGAAAAAAATAGATACATCACACTTAATCAAAAGTAAAAACTTTTGTGCATCAAAGAGCACAGTCAACATAGTAAAAAGGCAATCCACAGAATGGGAGAAAATATTTGTAAATCACATATCTGATAGACTACATAAAGAACTCCTACAACTTAACAGTGACAAAGTTTCAATTGAAAATGCCCTGGGATGAACATTTCTCCAAAGAGGACCTATAAATGGCCTTAATATGCACTTGAAAACATGCGCAACATCAGTTATCACAGGGGCAATGCAAATCAAAACTACAGTGAGGTATTACTCCACACCCACCCATTAACATAGCTATTATTTTCAAAAAATAAATAAAGCAGAAAACAAGTATTAGCTGGGATGTGGAAAAACTGGGACCTTTGTGTATTGCTAGTAGAAATATGAATAGTACTGCCACTGTGAATAAAAGTATGGTGGTTCCTAAAAAAAAAGAAACAGAGAATTGACATCAAAATATTTCATTTCTGTGTATATACACCAAAAAAAAAAAAAAAAAAAAAAAAAAACTGAAGGCAGGGACTCAAACGCATATCGGCACACCAATGTTTATGGAAGCATTACAATAGCCAAAAGATGAAAACAACCCTAATGTCCATCAAGAGATGTTATCAACAAAATGTAGTAAATACCTACAATGGGAATATTATTCAATCATAAAAGTGTCTGAAATTATGACACATGCTACAACATAGACCAATCTTGAAGACATTATGCCAAGTGAAATAAGCCAGATACAAAAGAACAAATGTTAAATGATTCCACTTGTATGACATACTAGAATAGTCAAATACATTGAGATGGAAAGCAGAAGCATAATTACTTACCATGGGCTGAGGGAAGAGGGAAGGAAGAATCATTGTTTAAAGGTAAAGAGATTCAATTTACAATATTGAATAGATTCTGGAGATGATTGTACAACAATGCAAACATATTAGTGTCACTGAAGTATACTCTTAAAAGTGTTAAAATAATAAATTTCATCATGCATATTTCACCACAAAACAAAAATGTAAATATGAAAGCTTTGATAAACTGACAATCAAAGACAGTGGTTATCTTACAAGTTTTTTGATAAGTAACCTGCAGTAGTAACTTTTTAATGATGATCATACACTAAAACATGCTCTTTAATTTATCAATGTGACTTTATGTGCTCATTTTTTATCTACAGGTTTAGAAAAGTAATGGAAATTGGAGGGAGAAGGGGAAGAAGCCATGTGGGATGAGAAACTTTTAGAGAATACAGCCTATCTTTTTCAAAAGGGAAGTAGGAGAATGTCTAGAATCTAAGGAATTAAAGTACAGGCTGAAGGACTTAGCCTAGAAGGGTCAGGTTCTTGGTGCGAGATACTCCCACAAATAAGAATAAAAAAAGAATTGGAATAACAATACATATAACACTGCATATTATATAGAGAGATAAATTAGAGATATATCGAGAGAGAGATTTATCTCTCTAGACTATATATAGATAAGTTAGAGAGATTTCCTTTTGAGAGATAATGTCACTGTCACTGTTGGGTGAATGAAGGTGAAAGGCATATGAGATTTTATTGTAATTTTTTTAAGGTGAAGTTTAATTCCATAAATTTAGTACTGAAAGTACAATTGTTCTGTAGGTCTCCTGGCACACTTTTTATTGCCATAAAATTAAAATTGTTTTCTATGATATTTATTTTTTATAATCAGAATATGTAAACATAATATTGTCTTCAAATGTCTCAAATACTCACTTTTGTATTTACATGTCAAATATTCAAGATGCATCTAATGCCATAAAAAATACCACTTCTATCATTCACTACGTATGTGGCCTCGACCAAGGACTATCACCTAGCTGAGCCTGTTAATTAAAGGGGTCTGTGAGTTAAATTATACATCCAACCCGGAGGGTGTTTTGATAATAAAATGAGACATTACAAGCTTATATCTTAACATGGCATGCAGCACAAAATAGGATTTCAGGAAAAGTTGAGTTAAACGGAGGTTAAGCTACATAATAACAATAACAATTGGTCCATTAGATTATACAGCTCAACAAAATATGCAAACTGTAAATTACTAAGAAGCAAAAACTACAAATAAATTTTTCACCACAGTGAAACAGTAAAGTTCAAGCATGCTGTTGCTGTACAACCTGCTCTTGTCTGATTCTTCACTGAGGGGAGTGAGGAAAATGGAGATGAAACCTGAGGCCCTGACTTACACAAGGAAATGCATTGTAATGTGATGTGTGATGTGTTCATCGTGTTGCATTGACTGCAACTGTACAGTCCCTTCTTGAAAGTGAATAAAGGAAGCTGTAGGAAGATGCAACTGTAAACTTTATATAAACCAGCTCTATGATTTCTTAGCTGTGAGGAAACCAGAGAACTTTTAAATTCTATTAAATGAAATACAGCTGTTCAATTCTATTCAGGACTGGTTTTCAAACTCTGATGTACGTTAAGAATCACCTGAGGGGGTTGTTCGAACCCAGACTCCCAGGCCTAAGTATCTATCTGTTTAGCAAGAGCTGCAAGTGACTCTGATTTTCCTATGATGAACAAACAGCACGTGTGCACGCCCGCATGCGTGCGCACGCGCGCGCACACACACACACACACACACACACACACACACACACACACACAGAGTTTGGACTATGTAATTATTTTTAAGTAATAAAGGCCAGCAATGTAGGGACTAAATTTTATTTCTACATAGTTATAGAGCTCTTACTCTGAACCTTTCCTAAGTGTGACCATTAGAAAGGCAGAAAAGAAACTCTCCCTTCAGATTATAATTGCCTGGAATCTCCTTGTTTTCTGCATTTCCGGGCCTGCCACAGGGCCTGATAGAGGTAGCCAGGCAGGCGCCCACCAGGGCTCTTTCCAGGCCATTCACTGCCGTCCTGAGTTGATGTTCAGGGAGCAGTATATCCAGGGGGACGCAGCGTGCCTGGATGCTTAAGTTGGACTAAGTTGCATGTACTGTAAACGAAAGCAAACATACCTGCTCTACAGCACCACAGGTCCAAGTTTTCAGTTTTCAGTTGCCTTTCACAATCTCCTTGCACTCTTTCTTCCTTCTACCTTCTTTTGTGTCCCTCCTTTATAAAGGGAAAAAGGAGCTGAGGAAGCTAGTCATTTCCGTAAAAGGGATGGGGCGGTAAAACTGAAATTGAAAGTAAAAGCAATTCATGCAGCTGTTAGGAATTAGCAGAGGCCTGTCTGAATCATCTGACCTGAATTTGAAGAGGGTGTTGGGGGCAGGGGTGAGAGGAGGTCAGAAAAAGCTACGGATTCTGCACACTCACACCTTTGCAAGCACAGTCCTGCCAGCTTTCTTTCGTCCTCCTCATCCTGGAAGGCTCCATGGGCTTTCTTGATACCTCTCCCAGTTAGCTCCCGTTTCCTTAGCACACAAGAAAAGTAGAAAACCATGTTAGAAACGTAAACAAAGCTTTAGGAACCAAGAATATTTTAAGCACTTTTCTCTTAGTGGGGATTCTTGGGTTTCTTTTGTTAATGAATAGCTTTTGATATTTTAAATAAGTTCTCTCTCTCTCTCTCTCTCTCTCTCACACACACACACACACACACACACGCACACACACACAGGTATACTTCAAAGATATTGCAGATTTGGTTCCAGACCTCTGCAATAAAGTAAATGTTGCAATAAAGTAAGTCACACAAAATTTTGGTTTCCCAGTACATGTAGAACTTATGCTTACATTATTATTCTGTAGTATAAGTCTAGTAAGTGTGCAATAGCATTATGTCTAAAAGTAAAATTACATGCCTTAATTTTAAAGTATTTTATTGCTGAATAATGCTAATGATCATCTGAGCCTTCGGCAAGTTGTAATCTTTGTGCTAGTGTAGAGTTTTGCCTCAATATCGATGGCTGCTGACTGATCAGGTTGATAGTCACTGAAGGTTAGGGTGGCTGTTGGCAATTTCTTGACATAAGATGACAATGAAGTTTGATGCATTGATTGACTCTTCCTTTCACAGAAGATTCATCTGTACCATGAGATGCTATTTGATCTCATTCTACCCAGTTCTTTCAAAATAGGAGTTGGTCCTCTCAAATCCTGTCACTGCTTTATCAATTAAGTTGATAAATATTCCAAATCCTTTGTTGTCATTTCAACAATGTTCACAGCATCTTCACCAGGAGTAGATTCCATCTCAAGGAACCATTTCTTTGCTCATCCCTATGAAGCAACTCCTCATCCATTCAAGTTGTTTCATGAGATAACAGCAATTCAATCCCATCTTCAGGCTCCGCTTCCAATTTTAGTTATCTTGCTATTGCCACCACATCTCTAGTTACTTTCTCTGTTGATGTCTTGAGTCCCTTTAAGTCATCTATGGGGGCTGGAATCAACTTTTTCCCAATTCCAGTTAACGTTGATATTTTGACATCCTCCCAGGAATCATGAATGTTCTTAATGACATTTAGAATAGTAATGTTTTTTTCAGAAGATTTTCAATTAACTTTGCTGAGATCTGTCAGATGAATCATTATCTATGGCAATTATAGCCTTACAAAATGTATTTCTTAAATAATAATAATTGTAATTTGAAATTATTCCTTCATCTATGAGCTACAGAATGGATGTTGTGTTAGCATATATGAAAACAATGTTAATTGCCTTATATATGTCCCTCAGAACTCAAGAATTATCAGGTGTATCTATGCAGCCATAAAAAAAGGATGAGTTCATGTCCTTTGCAGGGACATGGATGAATCTGGAAACCATCATTCTCAGCAAGCTGGCACAAGAACAGAAAACCAAACACTGCATGTTCTCACTCATAAGTGGGAGTTGAACAATGAGAACACAAGGACACAGGAAGAACATCACACATCGGAAACTGTTGGGGGGTGGGGGGCTAGGGGAGGGATAGCAGGGGGTGGGGGTATTGGGGAGGGATAGCATTAGGAGAAATACCTAATGTTGATGACGGGGTGATGGATGCAGCAAATCACATGGCACGTGTGTACCTATATAACAAACCTGCACGTTGTGCACATGTACCCCAGAACTTAAAGTATAATAAATAAATTTTTTAAAAAGAAAGTAAAAGAAATATAGATTGGAAATCAATAAATGCATTACTATTTTCAAAAAAAAGAACAGTGATATTTTGAAAGTGTTTTTCTGAACAGTAGGTCTTAGTAGTAGGCTTATACGATTCATTACGCCATGCTATACACAAATGTGCTGTCATCTGGGCTTTGTTGTTTCATTTACAGAGCACAAGCAGAGTATGCTTACATATTTTTTAAGGGCTCTAGGTTTTCAAAATAGTAAGTGAACATTGCATTCAACTTAAAGTTACAAACTACATTAGTGCCTAACAAGAGAGCCAGTTTGACCTTAGAAGCTTTGAAGTCAGGCATTGACTTCTCTTTCCTAGCCATGGAAGCCCTGGATGGCATCTTCTTCCAATAAAAGGCTATTTGTGTCATCTACATTGAAAATCTGCTGTTTAGGGTAGCCATCTTCATTAATTATCTTAGGTAGATCTTCTGGATAACTTGCTGCAGTTTCTGCATTAGCACTTGCTGCTCACCTTGTACTTTTATGTTATTGGAGACCGCTTTTCTTTAACCTCATGAACCAAACCCTGCTAGTTTCCAACTTTTCTTCTGCATCTTTGTCACCTCTCTCAGCCTTCATAGAATTGAAGAAAGCTATGATCTTGCTCTGGATTAGAGTTTGGCTTAAGAGAATGTTGTGGCTGGTTTGATCTGGTTTTACTGATCCAGACCACTAAAATGCTCTCCTTATTAGCAGTTATGCTATTTCACTTTCTCGTTATTCCTGTGATCATTGAAGTTGCACTTTTAATTTCCTTCAAGAATTTTTCTTTTGCATTCATAACTTGGCTAAGTGGCACATGAGGCATATGTCAGCTTTCAGTATGCTTTCCTCAGTAAGTGTAATTATTTGTAGATTTTGGTTTAAAGTAAGAGATTTATGACCTTTCCTTTCACTTGAACACAGGGTAATTGTAGGATTACTAATTGTGCTAATTTCAATATTTTTGTATCTAAGGGACTATAGAGGCCTAAGGAGAGGGAGAACCGGTGGGAAGAACAGTCAGAATGCACACATTTTTAAAGTTTGCTCTCTTATAGAGATGCAGTTCATATAAGGTACAGTATTAAGAAATAGTATTTGTAAAGTGCAATAAAACGAAGTGTAATAAAATGAGGAATGTATGTATGTATTCTTATGCACATATACATGCATGTAGATGTACATTCACATATATGTGTATATATAAATCTGGGGTATACTTCATTTTTGAAGATTTTATTTGAGGATGAAAAAATTCATGAATTGGGAAGTACTGGACCGAAAGAGGTTTAGTGTAACAATGACAAAGTGTCATTTTGTCACTTTTGTATTTGTAGGGCAATTATGGAAGCAAAATAAAGAAATTAGTATTTACAAAATTGTGTTTTTTGGTTTATCTTGTTGGGGATTCCCTACAGTCATATTTTAGGTTGCTGCTTGTGATTGAGTAGGGGCAGAAAACCTCCATGTCTATCCTCTTAGATTCCAGCTCAGTGCAGGAATTAAATTAATGTAAGATAGAGTAACAGGAGAAAAGCATAATATGAGTTTTACATGACATGAGAGCCCTCATAAAGAAAGCAAGACTCAAAGAAGCCCCTATAGTTAGTTACTTATATAGTGGGTTGGGCAAAACAGTTAGCTGTGAAGAAGTAGCTAACTTATTAATATTTGGGAGGCTTAAAAGATAAAAACTATTTTGACAAGTTCTGTACAGAATTCCCTTTGTTTCAACCTCTCAACCATGAGGCTATATATGTTGCCTTTCCTTCTAGTATACAGAGAATGTCCTTCACATGGGAGTTTCATCTTCTGCTTTTAACAAACAGCATGAAGATCAAAACCAGCTGTTTTTTTAAGTATCTTTGACTTAAACATTCAGTATGCCAGAAGAGCATGTTGTAATGCCTTCAATTGGCTGAGCTTAACCTTTGTTTCTAACATAAGCATTAACAGAAATGACCTGTTATTTTTTTACTTATGTTTCTAGTAGAAGCAAGGTTAAGGCTAATTTTAAGACCCAAGTGGTTTTGTTTGCTCAGGGATTTTACAGGCCTAGTCTCTATTCTAATATTATGTACATTTTAGAAAATAAAAACAAGTAAAGATAAAAATGATTAATCTTTAATTGCATTATCTAAACATGCTCATCATTAGCATTTTGCTCAAACTCTTGCACATCCCTAGCACACAGACAGACTTTTAACATAGATATCTCTCTTCTATAGAAATCAGCAAACCGGCCCAGTTTCAAAGGAATTTACTTAGTCAGATACTAAAGTGACTGCATGTACCTGTTTGTGGAGGAAAGAAACGAATAAAGTGTGTAATAGAAAAATAATTAGGTGAAGTAGGGAAATGTCAGAGGAAGCTGGACTTTGTGAGTACAGAGGGAGTTCTTCTTCCTTCCATTCTCCACTTGCCTGCCATAGTCCTTATCTATGCAAACCTTTTGCATAAAAGGCAAAATAAGCCAGGAGTATTGAGTGCACATCTGTAGTTGCAGCGACTCCTAAGGGTGAGGCGGGAGGATCCTTTGAGGCCTGGAAATTGAAGCTACAGTGTGCTATAATTGCACCCGTGGTTAGCCACTGCACTCCAGCATGAACAATGTAGTGAGACTTTATATTAAAAAAAAAAAATCAAATAGTAGTATTTTAAGATTTGGATGCCATAGGTTTCTGTCATAACTAGAGCATTCATAGACAATATGTAACAAATGAATATGGTTGTGTTTTGAATAAAACTTTATTCACTAAAGTAGCAATTGGGAACAATTTGGCCTATGCACCATAGTTTACTGACCTCTGGATTAGGTAAATATAATGCAACATGAAAGGGATTATCACCATCCGAAGTACCATTGTCTTACAAGTTGGTGGATCAGTTTCAGACTCTCCATATGAGTGTCTACTTCTAAGGTGATTTGCAAAAGAAAAGATGTAAAAATCCTCACTGGAGCAGAGATACCAAAAAAGACTGTGTTTACTACATCTATCTGAGTATCAGAGAAATCAATTTCTATCTGGGTTCCTAGGCAATGCATTGACATGTCTGCTCAACTAATTGTC